CTTATATTTGTTGAATTTACTCTAGAATTACCCCTTATCTTCGTTGAATCTACTCTAGAATTACCTCTTATATTTGTTGAATTTACTCTAGAATTACCCCTTATCTTCGTTGAATTTACTCTAGAATTACCCCTTATCTTCGTTGAATCTACTCTAGAATTACCTCTTATCTTTGTTGAATTTACTCTAGAATTATACCTTATCATTGTTGAATTTACTCTAAAACTACTGTGAAGGGGTTATTTAATCATTCAAGGCATACTGATTGTAAAATTAACCCATTATCTTTGGTGAACTATCTAAAACTACTGTGAAGGGGTTATTTAATCATTCAAGGCATACTGATTGTAAGATTAACCCATTATCTTTGGTGAACTATCTAAAACTACTGTGAAGGGGTTATTTAATCATTCAAGGTTTATTCATTGGGCCAGACATATAGCAGTAAATTGACAACCACGGTATTGTAAAATAGATTTTATACAACTCCCTTAATTAGAAAGGTATTTCTTTTAGTTAAGGTAACCAAACCAAGAGCCTTTGTTTTTAATTTTTCAAACGTGTCTACCTTATTTATTAGTGATTTTTGTTTTAGTCTAAATAATATTATCGACTGCATTTTCTCTTGTAGCATTTTGATCCGTTGGTAATTCTCAAGTAACTATGGAACTAATGTTTGTTTGGGTACAAAAATAAATTAAAGAACAATCGCACAACTTTTATCAACAAACGGTACATGTTTTGCCTCAGTAAAAGGTACCCTAGGCAATATTCTGAATAGTTAAGTTGCCTATAAAGATACAATGTTTGTTATCATACATTTTTGTAGGAAACCATGTTTCGTATAAATTGGTTTTACCAAAATCAGCTCTGTACTTTCACAACTTTTTTCTTTTATTTGCAGTTCATTTTCCAAAAACATAAAGTTTATATATTTGTATATAAATTTGAAAGAAATCGACCATTTTTGAAAAAACATAAAAACTTAAGGTTTGTTCGTAAGATGAAGTTTAATTTTTAAAGGATTAAATTCAAGTTATGGGTAAAAAAAGAAAATATTGATCACTATCGTCTGGTGAGTTTCAGCCATTTTGAACTTGGTGAATATATATGTATCATTAGTGAACTTCTTTCGATTACGAGAATTATAGGCTTATAATGTTCTGAAATATGGTAGATATTACAATATATATATATACATAAAATATTTAACAACTTAGTTAATTAACATGTTACGCATTATAGGCTTACTTGTTTTCCTGGTGTTTCTAAGTAAATTTATCAGACTTAAACATCATATGAAAATATTGGAATTTTTTTTTCGACCTTATAAAACATTTCAAGTTAAGATTTATATTGAATACTGTTCTTTATAAAATTTTACACGTTTCTTTCCTCGTGTAAATGTAGAAATGTTTGTTACTGATGTTCGACATGCAAGATGAACTATTTCGTACAGTTCTCACCAATATAACAATGTTGTTTTGACAGAAAATACACAATATTGTGTGTAAAACATTTATTACAAATTATTGTTGCTTGCAGTCTATCGCATAACATTTAAACTTATCACATACTTTGGTTATCCATGTTGTTTTTATATCCAAGTATCATTAGTAGTTCTACAATTCGTGACTGTTTTTAACAACTGTTTTATTTTTATTTTTCCCCATTTTGGCCTTTTCCCCACGACACGCTAGTGAGGTGAGGAAATCAATATTTATTCTTACTTATTTGACTAGATTAATGCTATCTACTTAATATTCTTTTTAAAAAAATGTTAATGAGATGATAGAATTTAGAAATAATAAAAATTTGCTGTTGGAGACGCTCTAAATAATAAGTTTATTAACTGTTTGAAAAGTTATTCGAACAGTTACTAAATGTTTAATGATTGAAAGTCGTGGGCAAAATGGCCAACTGTAGGAGGTAACGCAAAGAGTCCAGAAAAGGGAGAACGTAAATACGGAGGTACGTATATACCATTTTATGATATTTATATCCATATATTCTAAATGTATTGTGGTTGTGTTGCTATTACGTTATCAACAAATTCCGTTTGCTGCTATTATAACGAAGGTTAAGGTGAAAAAGCATTAGTTGAATTGAAATTGTTTTTGTTTAAATCTTAAGGACTCTTTTGGTCATATCTTGGAAATGACATATCGTTAAATAACAAACTTTGAGTAAATAACAGTTATAGGTTTCACTCTCTAAAGTACTAAATCATCGTTGCTCTACATAAGTAAACGAAATAAATCGGTTTTAATGGATAGAATACGCGCTTGTATAGCCACAAACATACATAAATATATATAGGCGTATGTGTGAGTATGTTTCAGTAGTTTTTAAAACACTGTATCCAATGTCCACTGTTTTATGTCGTGCGTCTCCAGTTTTAAACTGACTTCTTTTGTCTGTTGTTTGATACATAGTGAAACAAAATCTAGTTATTTTTGCTTTGATTTCTTTAATAAAATCTAATAGAACAAAATTTGTTTCTTTTAATTCTCTTTCTTCTAAATTTCTGAGTGTTTAATAACTTTGCGATCAGTTGAATTGTAAGCTAAATGCAAAATGTTCAGTTCGTTTGTTTTTGCTTTGGTTTGAATAAGCATGTTATTTTATTTACTGAGAATGATGCTGGCAACTTCAGATAAATTCACAGTTTTAATAATTATATGTGTATTTTATTTTACTTGATTTGCTTTTATGTGTGGATATTTATCTAACATCTGTGAAATCATAGTTTTAATAAACTTGCTTTAACAATAACGTTTGTTTTTTGTAAATAATTTTGTTGGAACGTTTATGTTATGATGTTTCTAGGTGATAGTATCATAAGCTAAAGGAAAGTTTTAAAACTCTTCTTCTGATAATATAAATTTTCTACCTTAAACTCGACAGAAAAGAACAACTTCAAAACTTTTACCATGTTCATTAATATGTTCAATTAACATCCAGAAACTGTAATTTTTAAGACAACATCGTTAACGCTGTATGACTGAGATATTAACTATGGAGAGATTAAACTTAATCTAGTGCGTTTACAAAAAGTTAAACAGTTAGTGAATGGAGATGGACAACGGTTAGTGAATGGACAACGTGGATAGCATTTTCTGAAAATTCTGAGATTTCAAGGACTTTCTGGACCATCGTTGATCTTTAAATATAAGAGACCGAAGATAGTTAGTGAAATAGAAACAATGGATTTTAGGCTTACTTGTAATAGGCTCCATTGTTTATCAGCAGTCTACTGCGCTATCTTCAGGATGCTCTATTTCTGAATATTCTTTTAGATTGCCTTTGTATGACTTGAATTAATAACCTGGATTGGGGACAACTCTCATGTCAGGATGTTGAAACCTTTTGCAAATAAGAACGTAGACAAATCACACTTACTGCTTTTGTAATGAAGCTTGTAACTGCTCTCATCGTTCGGCATGCACCTACTTATAACAACTGTACCTATTGTTAATATATCTACTTATTGCCAATAACTGTACCTATTATTAGTAATTCTACCTATTGTTAATGTCTGTACCCATGTTTAATAACTCTACCTCTTGTTAATGTCTGTGCCCATGTTTAATAACTCTACCTATTGTTAATGTCTGTACCCATGTTTAATAACTTCTACCAGTTATTAATGACAGTTTTATGTGTTGTTTTGTTTTGATTTATCTGTCTCTTTGATGTGTTTGTTATATAAGTGTAAAGAAACATCTCGAAGTCTATAACAGTCTAGCAACATCCGAAAACTGTAGTGTATAGAATAGACGTTAGAGACCTTAGCATACATGTTAAATAAGTATCAGTGTTTACAAACTGGATTATTAATATTAACTTCTGAACAGAGCAAGGTACTAGCTTAGTTCAAAACTAAAAATCAACTCACTAGCGAGCATACCATATTAGCTATAGTGTTTTTACGTCTTGAGCTATTAATATTAGAATGCATTGTTTCGTCAATTGGGTACCTTCGTTGTTAGCAATATTCTTGGCCGTAATCCCAATAATATCTCCTGACTTTCGGCCACGTTAGGAGAGTTAGGTCAGTCCTAAATACATATACTAAACTAAAAATTCAAAATAACATTTATAATAAAAACTTTATAATACAAAATAATAAAAGTAACTATATTAAGAATTTAATTAATAATGTTATTTAAAGTAACATTATCGTGTATCATATTTAAAGAACACACAAACAGTAGCTATTAGTTTAAAGTACTGTCGTAGGCTCGATAATATTAGAAACTACTGATCAATGTTAGAGACTGTAGGGTACAAGTCAGGTAAGTTTTAGAGACTGTAATATAAAGATTATCTAAGTGTTAGAGACTGTAAGATACTGTTTATATAAGTACTAGAGACTGTAAGGTACAAGTTAAATAAGTTTTAGAGATTGTAATGTATAGATTATCTAAATGCTAGAACTCTACGATACTGGTTAGATAAATGTTAGAGACTGTAAGATACTGGTTATATAAATGTTAGAGATTGTAGGGTACGAGTTAGATAATCTATACATTACAGTCTCTAAAACTTATCTTAGTGTTACCACTGTAAGATACAAGTTAGAGAAATGTTAGAAACTCACGACAGGACAGATAAGCGTTAGAAACTATAATGCATTAGTTACTTAAGCATTAAAGACTATAGTATTCAAGTCAGATAAGAAATTTAGAGGATTAATGTATGCGTTAGATACGCATTAGAGATTGTAGTGCCCTCCTTGCCAGTGGCTCAGCGATAAGTCTGGAGGCTTATAACGCTAAAAGCCGAATTTCGATATCCGTGGTGGACACATCACAGATACCTCATTGTGTAGCTTTGTTTAACAACAAACAAAAACGTCTATAGTGCATAAGTTAGATACACGGTAAAGACTGCGGTACACTGGTTAGAAAAGTGTTAAAGACTTCGTGGTACAGATTGAATGAACTTTGTAGACTGTAGCGTATAGGCTAAAGAAGTATTTGAGAATGTAGTATGTAAACGTGGTATGAATTAACGATTATAAGGCATAGGTTAAAAAGTTTACCATTATGAAGTTTGTTGTCCATTCCCACTGTTATATCTCTATTAAAACTACGGCTAAAAATACACAGCGGCTATACTAAATTGATGTTTTAAATATAACTAAAAGCATATAAATAATGTTTCATTCATGATATCAAATGGTATTTATGACTAAAAGTATTTCTTTCATCTTCTTATTTTCTAGCTCAGCAGAATGAGGTCCGAATGGGGTAAGTTAAACTGGGGATCCTTCTGAAACTTGAATAAGTGTCAGGTAAACCAGTATGTTATGATCCCACTCGAAGCTCCTGACCAAAGGTATTTTTTATTTTAATGCTTTTATAGAGTGTTCGAGAGTTTTCTAGAAATAATTTAAGCGTTAAAGCGTTAAAAAATGCTTCAGAAGAGGTACCAGAAAATCGTGTTCATTTTTTTCTCTGTTTTAGATATAAAAAAAACTTCCTGTGTTTTTCGTATTCTTATCATATCTTTAAGTGACTTGGAGTCTCATTTAGTTACAGAAGCCTTCTTTGTGTGTCGATATCTAACAGAACTAAAAGTGACTTTCGGTGTAATAGTCACAGTATACAAATAATAGAAGTGCCTTATTCACTGAGTAAAACATTAAATTATTCGTATATTGTGAATATTACATCAGTATTACAGACTATAAGTGTCTTATTCACTAAATAAAACATTATAGTCTGTAATACTGATGTAATTATCACAATATACGTATAATAGAAGTGTGTTATTCACTGAGTAAAACATTACAGTCTGTAATATTGATGTAATATTCACAATATACGAATAACAGAAGTGTCTTATTCACTGAGTAAAATATCCTAGATAGCATTTTTATTCTGAGTAAATATGACTCTTTGTAGTCCATCGCTGCATCACAGATGTTAATCCACTACAAAAATATTCTTTTGAGCTGTGTAATTTTAGCCTTTTGTATTATTTATATTTGTATTTGTTATCCCTTGTGGTGAGTTTTATAAATTGTAAACGTTTCGGTAAGCTACAGATAACAATACATGGATAAGTATTGATTAATAAACTTCCGATGTTTATCATGCTATGATTACAGGAAGAGAAGAGAAAGAGGGAGGACAAGGAGAAGAAAAAGGCCGAAGTGAGAAAGCGCCTGGAGGAGGCGGCCAAGGCCAAAAAAGGGAAGAAAGGTTTCATGACCCCAGAGCGTAAGAAGAAACTAAGGGTAAAGTAATATTTTTTGTCTCATATTTATTTCGTAGCTAATGATCTTAATTATTAACTTTCATGATTAAAATATCAGTACAAAATGAATCACGTGTCTACGTCATTAACTCAAACGTATGACAGGAATACAATTTACTTGTGGCATCGACGTAGCTCTCAAAACACAACAACAATGTAATTCGATTTTACATCGACACTGCCATAATTGAAACGCTTAACAGGAATGTTTGATATGATTGTAGAACTGCCACATCTTAAAAATTTCACATAAATGCCGTTTAATTTTGCTGCGGCATTACCATAACTCACACGTACACAAACAATGCCGTTTGATTCTATTGTGGACTGAAATAACTCACTAGAAAACGACGCCTCTTTTGTCATAGTTAAAGATCAAAATAGAAAAATACAACAACAACTGAATTCTTACCTGCAGATTACGTATAATAGAGGGAAGTTCAATTTGGTAATTCATACATAAACTAGAGATTTACCGTGGTAATTCATACATAAACTAGAGATTTACCGTGGTAATTCATACATAAACTAGAGATTTACCGTGGTAATTCATACATAAACTAGAGATTTACCGTGGTAATTCATACATAAACTGGAGATTTACCGTGGTAATTCATACATAAACTAGAGATTCACCATGGTAATTCATACATAAACTAGAGATTCACCGTGGTAATTCATACATAAATTAGAGACTTACCGTGGTAATTTTAGAATTGAGTAAACGAGTTAATAGTCGAACTCAAAAATACGAGTTGACTTAAAATTTGGACATATGCTTCTCTTCACAGCAACTGTTGAGAAAGAAAGCCGCAGAAGAATTGAAGAAGGAACAGGAGAGGAAAGCAGAAGAACGTAAGAAGATCATCATTCAGAGGACTGGACAGCCCAAGTCATTGGATGGATCCAATGAAGGTAAACTGATCTTGTAGTAAAGCTCCTGTGATTGGATGAAAAACAGTTTTGTAACTGATCTTTTGTAAGGAACTTACTAAATAATTAATTTAAAAATACAATACGAGCACCTTTTATGTAAGTAAAATCTTGGTTTTAATGATGACAATGATCAGAACTTAAATGATAGACAGTAGAAACTGTCGAATTATCAGACTATATGTCATCAAGTATTTTACAAAGACTGTATTTAAAGAAGTATTTTATAACTAAATTTAAACAAGTATTTTATAAAGACTACATTTGAATAAGTATTTTATAAAAAATAAATTTAAACAAGTAATTTACAGAAATAAAATTTCATCAAGTAATATGTAAAGACTGAATTTAAATAAATATTTTGTAAAGACAACATTTAAATAAGTGTTTTACCGAATTTACACCTCATCAAATATTTTACAGAGTTTATACTCCATCAAGTATTTTTACAGAGACTAATGACTATGACTCTTTTATGCAAGCGTAGTGTTCTTGATTGAATACTTTTCCGGACTTCATCTATCTTAGAAGTTTACTTGGATGACGTTTGAAGTTATTATATGCTTCAGTAGCTCGAAACGTCGACCAGAAACTTTTAAGGCAGATAGATGCAAAAGTCTGATCTAGTACTGTCTTATCTACCTAAGTTTCCTATAAAACAAAAACTTAACGTTTCCAGTTATCTTTCTTTACTTTTGAGGGCAAATTCAGTTGATGTAAACTTGGAAGCCAAGATTAGATTAACTAAGATATTGACTGACTTACAAAAAATTCTAAGAGAGTAGCTAGCAGAAAGAGGGAGACTTACGTGTAAAACAGTATAAACTCTATGATAAAAATGCTTGTTATACAGGTTTCAGAATTATTTTATATAGAGTGTGGTTTTATGCAAATCATAGATTGTGGATCTTTTCCTCGGAGCAGCATATATTTTATTACGAGTTATCGAATAATTGGATACAATTAGTTTCACATAAAGAGTATAAACAGTGTTTATGATGTGAAATATATATATATAAAATTAGCCAGTATATAAAGTAATACATATTAGTGCTGTGCTAAGAAAAACAGTGTTTAACAATATAGTCATTGCTAGAACATGCTTCGCGTGATTAAAAGGTCGAAAACTCGCAGTAAAATAGCAATTAAGGTATGGCGAACCTCAGCAAAAGGTTTGTATTTTTACCCTGAAAAGATCTTAAAATAAACCAAACATTAGGCGTGTTGTTCCTTTCACAGCTACTTTACAAGCAGTCCTGAAAGAATACCACAAACGAATTTCTCAGCTGGAAGATGCAAAATACGACTTGGAGTACGAAGTGCGCCAAAAGGACTTTCTGGTAGGGCCAATGACACAGCTATGGTTCTAGAACTACGTGGTCGTTCAATGATGCTGATAAATGAATGTTACTTACTTACCAGTATGCTGAAAAGCGTGCGCACGTGAGCTTATTTTTTCATAAGAAACCAAACGTATATTGGTTTCAAACGTGACTTATTTTCAGTTCGCTCGCTTAATTACCAAAGACAGGGCTTTTTTATTTATGTTACTTCTTATTATTATTTTGTGGCGTTTACTTGTGCGTTTTTGTGGTTATTTTTGAAAGGTTGACCTGATTTCTACAGAATATCATCGATCATTTTACTATGCACACAGTACGAACTTGTTTGATAGCACCTTGAATGTTAATGGATATCATGTACATGAAAAACATCTTAGATTTAATTATATCAAACTCAAAGTGATTTGTAGCTTGTAGACAGGTATATAAAAGACACCCTAACCCTAGTTCTGCAAATATTTATCTCTGGTAGTGACATGCAGCAGGTACATGAAAATACATTCTAACCCTAGTTCTGCGAATGTTTATCTTTGGTAGTGAATTGAAGCAGGTACATGGAAATACTCTCTAACCCTAGTTCTACGAATGTTTATCTTTCGTAGTGAAGTGAAGCAGATACATGCAAATACTCTCTAACCCTAGTTTTGCGAATGCTTATCTTTGGTAGTGAAGTAAAGCAGATACATGAAAATACTCTCTAACCCTAGTTCTGGGAATACTCATCTTCAGAGCAAGTTCATAGGGAAAAACACATTAGTCCTAGTTCTGTAAACACATTACTTTCAATGGCGATGGGGGAACAAAGATAAGCACGTATCCTGTTTTTTAATTTAAGCCACAAAAATTACAGTATGCCTATATTAAGCAAAACATAAGTACGTAGTGTAGATTCCTCATGTTAAGAGTAATCAAAAACTTAAATGATATTCCAATAGTTCAAAAACTATTTTCAACTGAACCAATCAGTTACGAAATCAGGTAAACCTTTTTGGGGGGATGTGTGTGTTGCGTGGGTGGAGGGGATAGTACATGTGATACAGTGGATGTGTGTGTGCTTGAACTAAAAAATGGAGTTTTCCATTTTAGCCGAAATTGACATTATAACCCTCTATGTGTTTCGTTTCTTATGTAAGTTAGTTATTTTCTGTGGAGCCAAGGGTACCTAACAGTGCACGTGAAGATGCTTAGAACACCAACTGAGGTGTTCAGTCAACATTGTTTATCGGCATGATAATCTCTCTGTTATTGATAATTTTCTTTTCGAAAGATTCTTCTTTATTTTTAGCTTTTGTTCTGCTGAACGGCCGTGCTTGTTTTACCTTTTAGTTCTCTTATTTCTTTATTATTTTATTTTTGCGTTTCTTGCTACTAATGGTGTGGGATGGGGATTATAATGTTTTGCTGCCTAACCCTTTCAGCCACACTTCAGGCAATCTGCAAAGAGTATTACGAACGTATTAAACAACTGGAATGTGGCAAGTACGACTTGGAGTACAGCGTGAGACAAAAAGACTATGAGGTCAGTTGTCTTTGTTTGAACAGACAGAATAAACTTTTAGCACACTTCAGTAGAGTTATACCTATGTATTTTTAGTAAACTTTTAGCACAGTTCAATAGAGTCATACGTATGTATTTTTAGTAAACTTTTAGCACAGTTCAATAGACTCATACGTATGTATTTTTAGTAAACTTTTAGCACATTTCAGTAGAGTCATACGTATGTTTTTTGAAACTTTTAGCACACATATGTTTGTATTTTTAGTTGATTTGTTTCTTCCTAATGGAAATATTGGTATATCTTGAAGTATTCAGTTCCTTCTTTTCTTTTAAGCGGTTTCTCATTTTTTTACCAACATTTTACAGCAAACAAGTATAAAAAGTAAAAATTGCTCAATTATAACGAACTTTTTAAGACAAATTAAATTACATGTAATATTTTGGTTCTATCGGTCATTTTCAATTCTCAGAATATACTAACTTTATACTATGTTTCCAAAGACAAATATGAAAGAAACTTTATGAACTACAGGCTTTCTGTTTTTATAGATATTTCCTTAGGATTATTTAATGGTTTGAGTTTCAAAGTTTATGTACACCTCAAACATGATAAATAAATTCTATAAATGAATACATCACCCTCAATCTTAAAAGCACAATCCAACTTATCATAATACAACTGTAGTGCTTGAATAATAACAGAGTCATACACATTATTCTTTAATTCTTTGATTGAAATAACACTATACCACACTTACTACATGAATCATATTATCTTAGATTAGCGTTTGGATGCCACTGCACTTCATTTACCAAAACATTTTTTTTCTTAGATCAATGAACTTACTATCCAAGTGAACGACCTGCGAGGAAAATTGTAAGTTAGTCTAAATATTATTACTCTGAAAAATAACTGTATAGATTTATACTTTTATTTGTGTACAGAAACAAATATTCTATCTATCTATAATTTCAGCTGGTTTATTAAACAGCTATTGAATAACAGACATAATCATCATTTCTATTTTAAAACCAGAATTCCGTTATTTCAACATTTATATAACTTTGTAAAAAAGTACTTATAGCGAACAATTTAGTTTGTTTCATGATTATATTTTCATGTCTACTTAAAGGCCCTCTGCTGGCTCAGCAGTAAGTCTGAGAGTTTATAATGTTAAAAATCAGGTTTTCATGCTTGCAGTGTGCGCAGCAAAGATAGTCCATCGGTAGCTTTCTTCTTAATTACAAACAAATATAACTAGATAAACGTCTGGTTTTGACCCCTGGTGGTAATTATATGTATGTTCTTTATATAGTGTCAAGCCTACTTTAAAGAAAGTGTCGAAATATGAAGGAAAGTAAGTAACGAACTCTTTATTTGTTTATTCTACTATTGGTTTTTAAAGCAGTAGTTCAAACTTTACATTAACTGTATAACGAATTATTAAAAGTAAGTAATAGTTATTACCTTATGAGCTCTTATATGCAGGGTTAAATATAAAGCAACTGAATGTATTATTTATAATAAATAATAGTTACTACGTCCTGAGTATAAAAGTATAATATATTTCATGTTTCGCTAGCTGCATCTCATTATAGTCACGTAGCAGTAAATTATAAACGTTTTCTGAAATGGTTCATTGTTCTGTCCTCGCATCACCCGTTACTATGGTAACAAACAATTTTGCACTTAACGTGCTTAGAATAATGAAATGATATTTAAACATCGACAAAATGTTTAAAGGTTTGTTTCATTGATGCTTCTTACACTGAAAGTGATATTCCTTAAAAACTGGAATCAAGAACAGGTCAGTACCGGAGATATTAGAACTGGACCAACAGCCTTTTGGAACACGGGATAAAACATAAATAATTTTATATTCTATTATAAATTGAAATAAAAAAATTAAGAAAAGATGTTCATTTTTATAATTACAAAAAGAAATTTTTCTTGCAAATAGAAAAAATTAATCGAATCACAGGACAAAACAAAGTTGAAATGTTTACAAAATTGATAAGAAATTTGAACAATTGTTCAACTTTGCGTCTTGTAAGTGTCTTTTATATTTTAGTGTACTTTAAGGACACTTCGTTTTCTTTTAAGATAATACTTTATTTACTCCAAGGTTCGAGAAGCTTAAGGCTATTGCCAAGAACACTGAGATGGATTATCGGGCCAACCTGAAGAACGTCAGTAAAGACAAGTTCAAGCTTGGAGAGGAGAAAGAAGTAGGGTCTCCTTAAATAATTTCTTTATTCCTAATCCCTAGGAATAAGTGTGCAAACATTAAAGACAAACATTTTTAATGCTAATATCCTTATATTTACACCCCTGTTACTAGCTTCATTGCTAACTAACGTATTCAAACTATTACTTGTTTAGAAATGTAAGACTGACTTATAAGGAAATGTTTATAAGAAATTGGAAAGATTAATTCCAAAATATTAAGTTAATTCTAGGATTTAAAAAAAAGATGTTATATATAGTCACTTAAGCAGCAAAATACACTATATGTACACAATTAATACTATTACGTAAGCAAACCGGATAACCTAACCCTAAAAAACAACGTATTTAAGTGTTCTGACGTCAATGTCACGCTCAGTATTTTGCGTTACTACTCGATAATGACGGTAGAGGGACCAATAAGTAATGGGAACGAATGTCAGCCTAATTCTGTATATGTATTTTTCTTAGTAAACGTTTTCAACTGAGATGTTCTTGCGCTCGTCATTAGCTTAAAATGTTAAATTGAACAAAGAAAACACTACAAATTCTAATTGTAATCTTTATTCTAAGACCAGTGTCACTTAAAAGTTTAAAACAAACACAGAATCTGAAAATGTCTTATGATTCATGTTGTTTTGTTTTACGCACAATATACAGTTTCTGGAGGAACATCTCATTATTACAAGTCAAATGAAGATTGAATTAATTTATGTAGATTTATATAAAAAATGTATATACCTGTTTATGTAAGTTCTATGTTATTTCTGTTTATGTAAGTTCTATGTTATATCTGTTTACGAAATGACATAAAATGTTTCTTAACTTCCTTTCTTCTCTTTCAGGATTTTGTTAATTTTGATTTCTGTTTCCTGTGTATTTGTATATTATTACTATTTAATTCTTTCTCTTTGTATTTAATGTGTTGTTAAATACGTTGTATTTAATGTGTTATTAAATACGTTGTATTTAATGTGTTATTTCATTCTACGCCAGTGTTTGTGATATGTGTTTCGCGTTACCTTAATGTATGTTTCAACTGACTGATAACAATAGTGTAAAATAGCACACTAGTGTTATCGTACCCTTCAACTGCTTGTAATAGTAGTGGAGAGTGATAAACTGTTGTTACAGCACCCTTCAACTGGCTAATAACAGTAGTGTAAAACAGTTCACTATTGTCACCGTACGCTATTGATAGACGGTACGCTATTGTTACTTTTACATCCAATTGGCTGACAATAGAGGTGTAAGACGGTACGCTACTTTTACTGCACCCTTTAATTGGGTGGGATCAGACGTGTAAGATGGTACACTACTATTACTGCACCCTTTAATTGGGTAAGATCAGACGTGTAAGATGGTACACTACTATTACTGCACCCTTCAATCGGGTGGTATCATACGTGTAAGATGGTACACTACTATTACTGCACCCTTCAACTGGGTGTTATCAGACGTGTAAGATGGTATACTACTATTACTTCACCCATCAACTGGGTGGTATCAGACGTGTAAGATGGTATACTACTATTACTTCACCCATCAACTGGATGTTATCAGACGTGTAAGATGGTATACTACTATTACTTCACCCATCAACTGGGTGTTATCAGACGTGTAAGATGGTATACTACTATTACTTCACCCATAAATTGGATGTTATCAGACGTGTAAGATGGTATACTACTATTACTTCACCCATCAACTGGGTGGTATCAGACGTGTAAGATGGTACACTACTATTACTTCACCCATCAACTGGATGTTATCAGACGTGTAAGATGGTATACTACTATTACTTCACCCATCAACTGGGTGGTATCAGACGTGTAAGATGGTATACTACTATTACTTCACCCATCAACTGGATGTTATCAGACGTGTAAGATGGTATACTACTATTACTTCACCCATCAACTGGATGTTATCAGACGTGGAAGATGGTACACTATTACTGCACCCTTCAGTTGACGTGTAACAGCACGGTTAGATGGTATAGAAGTTTGCTGTACTAGATTATTAACCTTCCTGCCACGTTATGTTTTATAGGAATTATCCAGATTTAGTATTAAATTATACCTGACGAAGGAATTGTAAATATACCTTTATTATCTAAGGTAAATTTAACATTTTTACCACACCCTTGGTCATAGCCTTCTAAACTACCTTACGACAGTGAGTAGCTATAATTTCAATGAGATTTTTTTAAACAATATTTTTCTCTTACTTTTGATTTGTACTAAAAACGGGCTGGAAGGTTTTTAATCCACTCCTTCTTCTTGACTGGACTTGCTTTATATGTATTAACCTCTTTCACTATAGCATGGGGAAACGAAACACAATTGTGTTCTGTGGTCAATCCACAATCGTCTAGATTTATGTTAACAAGATGTGTTACACGTATTTAGCTTTTCTCAGAACAGGAAAACGATTTTTCTTGATTATATGTTTTTACATGAGTTTAATATTAATATCTTTATGTTTTGCCATCTGTCCTAACTGTGTTTCTTCACTCTTATTTCTATGTGTGTTCTTTGTCCACAGAAGAGAAAAGAAGCGCCGGAATGGGCGAACAAGTAACCCTCGCCACCCCATCGTTGTTATATTGTTGTTGTTCTCTTTTAATCCCGTTTTTCGTTCACTCTTGGCTAAATGAGATTAATTGAATCTGTTGTGATGTCAAGATCGATTAAAATAATCTGAAATAAGAATATTATACTGAAAATTGAATCCAATAAATTGTGAAAATGTAAGAAAACAGAAAAGTAAATTTCATGTTGTTATGTATCGTTGAAGGCTGAATCTCGTGAATTTGAGCAGATTTGGTTTTGTTTTCAGCTCTTACTTGATCTTCAGACGTATTTAAAATTATTACAGATTAATATTGATAGAGGGCCTTAGGTTTAGTAGTTTCTAAAAACAGAAGAAAAAGTTTGCGGGTTTAATGGTTTTCTGAAACGAAGCTTATAACACATCATTAATATAAATATATATATTCAAAAACCCTTAGCGAAAAACTTGGTTAAAATTATGAATTATAAGTAGAAACGTTTCTAAAATTATTATTTTAGTAGAACGGTTTTCCTGAGTAACTTTTCTGTTTAAAATTGATCGTTATCATGATGAATATATTTTTGTTTTAATTACTTGCGTTTCGTTTTTCATGAGTAACCTTTCTGTTTAAAATTGATCGTTATTATGATGAATATATTTTTTGTTTTAATTACTTGCGATTCATTTTTCTATGTGAATACAGCGTGATTAACTTCTAAGTATTCGTCATAAACAACAAGATATTACAATGAACGGTTAACGGAGGAAGGAATATAATATACTGGAAAAATATGAGCACGCTGATTTAAAACCCGGATTTAAAAATTAAATGTTTTGCATTAAACAAAAGATAAAACATTACAGCTTAATTAAAAAAACAACAACCAACAGATTTTTGAATGTTAATCAATGCAGGTTTCATTTATAACATTACGTTTGTTGAGTAAGGTGAAATAATGCTTTAGTACAGATATTCAAATTTCTAAAGGTTTTCGATCTCAAAAGTTTTAATTAAAAGAACAACGGGACTATCCAAAAATTACAGGTTTTTCCAAGAAAAAAGTCTGAAACAATCATATTCTGACCAAAGTATTGAACTTAGTAAAACAAAATGTTAACAAATTTGATCGAAATATACAATGAAGTTGTCGCAGCCACATTATTAATTCAATTATTTGATGTAAAATAAATAATTAAAACTGCACGAAAGAGACAATCCCTTTTTATGACCCGAATTCAAGCAGCTGAAGTTTTCTGTAAACTTAAGCAAAAAGTATAGCTCGCTGTCATAATTTCATATTAATCAATATCTATAACACCGTAAAAAATATTTTAAAAGAAAAAACACATTTTGAATGATTTTTTCACGTAGAGAAACCCAGAGTAAAGAGATTTTAATATTTTAAAAGAAAAAAACACATTTTGAATGATTTTTTCACGTAGAGAAACCCCGAGTAAAGAGATTTTAATATTTTAAAAGAAAAAACACATTTTGAATGATTTTTTCACGTAGAGAAACCCAGAGTAAAGAATTTTTAATATTTTTAATGAAAATAATTATTTCACAGTTAATTTTCAGTTTATTTAAGCACATTTTTACAAATTTTGGGCAGAAAGCTCATAACGTTTGAGCAATTAAGTCTGTAGAGAACACTTTTGGGCAGATGAAACTTAAATTACTTAGTCGTATTTGGAACTCTTCTGCTTTGATATTAATATCTTACGAAAGAGTAACTTGAAATTATAAAGAAATAACAAAAGTAACTCGAAAAAATGTCAGAAACATGGAAGACCATATTTCTTGAGTAAGGGGCAGAAACGTAGCTTTAATATGATGTTAAAACTATCAAAATGTTTGGGCTACACACCGTTGATACCATGAATTAATATATAATTTCACAATGAACAAAAATAACAACGAATCGACTTTACTTACTAATTATTGAACTTAAATAAGTTTAAATTGAAATTGTTAACATAATAGTTCATAATCGTTAACAATCGTAATTTCAAATAGTTAAGTGTTATAAAAGTAGTTATTTCATTGCTTATCTTCTAATAAACACATACAAACTACATATTATACGTAATCTCTAAAGCAACGTCATTGTTCAAAATCACCATCGAAAATGATCATTTGACCTAAACCTAAACAATATAGATTATTATTTTCAATACAAGATTCCCAGCTATTTTTCTACGGGTAGCTGAGGGTTGCTTCAAGTTTCCTTTCACCGTTTTATGGCGGGTTTCGGAAGGGTGTTGCCTTAAGCAAAGAAGTACGGGATAGCTACAAAATATATACAGGTAGTGTTTTGGTAGAAAGACAGTTTTAAGTTCTTAATTTAATTTTAATTTTCCCATACAAAAATGATGTCTATTGTTTTAACTTCTTAAAGATGTCATATATGTGTTATTACGTTTTCTTGTGGCTTGACTACTGTTTTTATTTCTCTGTTATGTCAGTGTTTATTGTGAAACGATTTTCTGTTATGTCAGTGTTTATTGTAAAAATATTTTCTTTTTGTCGCTCCTTTGTCAAACTGTAGCTTTAAATTTGTTATTTTAAACGTAACACAGGAGATAAACGACATGTTTAAAGTTTTAAACATTTTAATTAGCATTAACGCAAAAGGAATAACCTTATTTTTATGTATTTACTTTAAATTTTGTTTATACTCTTCTGAGCCTTTAAAGTGATATTGGTGTTAAAATTATAGAGAATGTTCATCACTATTAATTCATTAATTCTAAACAATTAACGTTGTATATATAACTTTAATATCACTAAAATAACTTTAACATTTTTGGATGTCACAAATAGATATTGTTGGAAATATGAAGTTTTTTAACATTTTATTGTTTTCTTCACATAAAACAGTCTGAGCGACCAGAATGGGCATTAGGAAAGAAGAAGGAAGAAAAAGTAGAAGGTGAAGAGGAAGAGTAAACATACTTATCACGTTCCTAATATCATCTTCATGTAGATCAGGTCTTCATCTTATTTATTTGATGCCAGTATTGAGAATGATTTCTGCTACTTAAAAAATTTTCCAATCAACAGCTGCGTGGAAAAAGAAAAACTGTTACAAAAGATTTAAGTTATGACGTTAATATATTTCGCGAACTGAAATCTAGTTATTAAGAGTTTTCGTTTCCATTATACCGTGTTAAAGAAACCTGTGGGTATGTTAACGTGTTGTTTTAACACATTAGGAATAAACACAGTAACACGAAACGTATACGTGTCTATGTTTCAAAATACAGTTTCTGCTCTCGTACTTTAAGATGGCCCGAAGATTTAACACGCGTGAATATGATGTATTGCAATGTAACTTACTTTGAGTTGGTTATAGTGATAATTGCAAAAATCTAGACTAGTTTCTTCACCCAAGGTGGAAACACAATGTGAAACGAGACGTCATTTTGAAGTAAGCTCCTCCCTCCCTCTATGGAGACGAAGTTCACCATAAATGAATGTAGATTCTACATTTTTCTTTGTGCTTTCATTTAAAGATTTAAAGTTGTAAGAACAAATAAGTATAGGTTAACTTGAATTACTACTTCCACACAGAGCCTGATGTGATCTAGTGCTATGAACCCGATGGCCCGTGGTTCGAGTCCTACTGCCGCAAAATCGCGCTCCACACTTTGGGGTTGCGGATGTGTTAAGAGTGACGGTGAAATCCCACTATTCGATTAGAGAAGCCCAAGAGTTGGCGGTGGGTGGTGTTAATTTTAGTATTAGATAACATGTATTCGAATTCCCTGTAGACACATTAAATAAAGTTAACAGTTTATAACACTCCTCCAAAACAAGCATAATACGTAGAAAGTTACAACTGATGGTAACACCATCCCTTTTTTTACCTAGTTGGAGTTTGTCGTTACTCTCCCTCCTCATGCTAGAAAACACAGTTTCATAACTTATATTTTTAAACAGCTAGGTCATAGACTACAACTTCAAGCATGACAATCCGTAAATATAGAACAGAAAACAACTGACGAACAAAGGGATAAATTGTTTTAGTTTTTAGCGCAAAGCTAAACATTAGACTATCTGCGCTTTTTACATCTTAGGGAATCGAACCCCGGGTTTTCGCGTTATAAGTTCGTAAACTTACTGCCGAATATGCAGCTACACTTAAATGAATGGTGGAATTGACTGTTACACTTATAATAACTGCCTGACAGTTAAGAGAATGAAGCAGGTTTTATAATCATAAACATGTGAAAAGTAGCATAAAACTTGAGGATATAGAATTGCAAGAAAAAGTTTAAAACGAAAATATTGTTCTGAAGGTCGCATATGAATAACTAATTAACATTAAACGATTAATGGGAAGCACACCCTCTAACAAAACGGGAGAAGTAAGAGGTTAGTACAAACGTTATGAAAAGATTGCCACCTTATGGAACTTCCAATGTGAAAACAACTTTACATATGGCTTTGATGCTAATGCTAAAAGAGAGCTTAACTGTAATTTTTTTTTTTTGCTTTACAAACACAAATTGTGTAAAATGAAAATCTTAAAAGTTTAAACTAGTTTTTGTTACTGGATCTCTCCATTGTTAAAGCATACATACTAAAACAATACAGACGCTACTTCAACAGTCTCAAAGTTGATTAAACATGCATACTAAAAAAAATACAGACATTACTTCAACAGTCTCAATATTAATTAAAACATACATACTAAAATAAAAAATAAATACAGACACTACTTCAACAGTCTCAATATTAATTAAAACATACATACTAAATTAAAAAATAAAGTACAGACACTACTTCAACAGTCTCAATATTAATTAAAACATACATACTAAATTAAAGAATAAAGTACAGACACTACTTCAACAGTCTCAATATTAATTAAAACATACATACTAAAATCATAAAATAAAATACAGAAACTACTTCAACAGTCTCAATATTAATTAAAACATACAAACTAAAATAATAAAATAAAATACAGACACTGCTTTAACAGTCTCAGTGTTGATAAAAACATACATACTAAAACTATCCCAGACACTACTTCAACAGTCTCAATGTTGATGAAAACATATATACTAAAACAATCCCGGACACTATTTCAACAGTCTCAATGTTGATGAAAACATACATACAAAACTATCCCAGACACTACTTCAACAGTCTCAATGTTGATGAAAACATATATACTAAAACAATCCCGGACACTATTTCAACAGTCTCAATGTTGATGAAAACATACATACAAAACAATCCCAGACACTACTTCGACAGTCTCAATATTGATGAAAACATATATACTAAAACAATCCCGGACATTACTTCAACAGTTTCAGTGTTGATAAAACATACATACTAAAACAATCCCGGACACTACTTCAACAGTTTCAGTGTTGATAAAAACATACATACTAAAACAATCCCGGACACTACTTCAACAGTTTCAGTGTTGATAAAAACATACATACTAAAACAATCCCGGACACTACTTCAACAGTTTCAGTGTTGATAAAAACATACATACTAAAACAATCCCGGATACTACTTCAACAGTTTCAGTGTTGATAAAAACATACATGCTAAAACAATCCCGGACATTACTTCAATAATTTCCATGCCTTCCAAAATGTACGTACCTCAAAAACTAATTCAAGAATGTCTATGCTTTTTTTAGTCTTATATATATATTGCGAACCGTGGTGTCTGTCTCCCGTTTATGGCGGCCGCTTCCGGCGCTGCTTTTCCAAAGATGCGCACGCAGGCAAAGCTCAACATCGACTTTTGAAATGACTGGAGAACAGGCGTAAATAATGTTGATAACAAATTTTATTTCGCAAGCAGGATATTTTACACTAGATTGTTATAATTAATCACACTATCGTTCACATTTCAAAATGTGACGTAGCTTAAAGAATAACAATGTTGGTTTACCGCATTGTTGAGCGACTGAAATGCTCAACAATTATTATTTCGCGGTGGGCGGTATAAGTAGCTTAGAGCTTTGGCTCTTACTGAAACCAAAAGTACAGAACGGTTAACCTTTTCAAAGTCTATGAAATAATTTAACTTGATAAATGAGCTTAAACTTTTCACGTCACTGGGGACGGGTACTTTTGGTTATTTACACAATAGGATAATCTCTGAAAAACTCTTCAACAGAGTCAATGTTGATCAAAAGAGATACACTAAAGTAATTTAAGTAAATACTTCAACAGTATCAGTGACGATAAAAGGGTAAATATCAAGTTAATGTTACAGAATATTAAAAAAATACTAGTGTTGGTTAAGACATATTTAGTAAGATGACCTCAAAATTTTTAACATTGTCAGTGTTGGCCATAACATGCATAAAAAGATAACCTCAGAAAATGCTTCAACAATACCAGTGTTGGTCAAAATCCACATAGAACGATAACCTCAGAAAATGTTTTAACAACACTGATATTGTTAAAATCAACATAGAAAGATAACCTCAGAAAATGCTTCAACAATACCAGTGTTGGTCAAAATTCACATAGAACGATAACCTCGGAAAATGTTTCAACAATACCAGTGTTGGTAAAAATTCACATAAAACGATAACCTCAGAAAATGTTTCAACAATATCAGTGTTGTTCAAATTCAACATAGAAAGATAACCTCAGAAAATGCTTCAACAATACTGGTGTTGGTCAAGATTCACATACAATGATAACCTCGGAAAATGTTTCAACAATATCAGTGTTGTTCATAACACAAATAGGAGAACCTAAAAAAATTCTTCAACAATACCAGTGTTGTTCAAATCAACATAGAAAGATAACCTCAGAAAATGCTTCAACAATACCAGTGTTGGTCAAAATCCTCATAGAAAGATAACCTCAGAAAATGCTTCAACAATACCAATTTTGGTCAAAATCCACATAGAAAGATAACCTCAGTAAATGCTTCAACAATACCAGTGTTGTTCATAACACACATAGAAATATAACCTCGGGAAATGTTTTAAAATCATCATTGTTGGTCTAACATATCTATAAAGATAACATCAAAAATTACTTTCAGAGAATAACCTATAAAGATACGAGTGATCGAGTACATCTGTGAGTGCAATTTAAAGTAAAGCTGTTGTGTGTTGTCAGTGAATATGTTTTAGTAGTAGGTGCAATTAAACAGGAAAGGAAGTTTTCCCATGACTTGTATCTTTTACTGAATCCATAGCGAGGTCAAAAATAAGAGGACACAATTAATTTGTGTACGACACAAACTCGTAAGGTCATAATGTCAGAAAGGTCACAGAGTACTATGGAAAAACTAATGAATCCATGTAACACCTAATGTATAACAAAAGCCCATTTATTAATCTCCCTCTGAGAAACAACAAGTAGTTCTACACTTAATGTATAACAAGAGCACATTTATTAATCTCCTTCCGAGAAACAACAAGTAATTCTACACTTAATGTATAACAAGAGCACATTTATTAATCTCCCTCTGAGAAACAACATGTAGTTCTACACTTAATGCATAACAAGACCACATTTATTAATCTCCCTCTGAAAAACAACAAGTAGTTCTGCACTTAATCTATAACATGACCACATTTATTAATCTCCCTCTGTAAAACAACAAGTAGTTCTACACTTAATGCATAACAATACAACATTTATTAATCTCCCTTTGCGTAACAACAAGTAGTTCTACATTTAATGTATAATAAAACCACATTTATTAATCTCCCTCCGAAAACAACAAGTAATTCTACACTTAATGTATAACAATACTACATTTATTAATCTCCCTACGAGAAACAACAAGTAATTCTACACTTAATGTATAACAAGAACACATTTATTAGTCTCCCTCCGAGAAACAACAAGTAGTTCTACACTTAATCTATAACATGACCACATTGATTAATCTCTCTCTGAGAAACAACAACTAGTTCTACACTTGATTTATAACCTACTTGTTGTTTCTCAGAGGGAGATTAATAAATGTGGTCTTGTTATACATTAAGTGTAGAATTACTTGTTGTTTTTCAGAGGGAGATTAATAAATGTGGTCTTATTATACATTAAGTGTAGAACTAGTTGTTGTTTCTCGGAGGGAGATTAATAAATGTGGTCTTTTCTACACTTAATGTATAACAAGACGACATTTATTAATCTCTCTCTCTCTACATTGTCTTTTCAGTATCTTTTCTTGTTGTTTTTTTGAGAAAACAAGCCATACCATTCAGGGAGACATGATTGCCATTAATT